TGGTGTGTTGTGTGGTGTGTTGTGTGGTGTGTGGTGTGTGGTGTGTTGTGTGGTGTGTTGTGTGGTGTGTTGTGTGGTGTGTTGTGTGGTGTGGTGTTTTTATGACGAACCCCGCATGATGACTGGTCTCCTTTTGTCTTCCCTTCACAGCCACACAAATGGAGGCTGGCCGAGAAACAGAATTGTGAACCTAAAACCCAAAACCCTAAAGAAGGCGGTGGATTGGCAACAAAAAGGTGGGTGTCTCATTGAAATGGAGGATGTCATTTTGCGGGCCTCAGACCCTCGTTGACATTTTGGGGCCGGCGCAGGAATCTTCGCGGGCAAGTTCAAGCAAGGTTCCAGCCAGGGAGGTTGTACGGGTGTGAGAGTGTGTGTGTGTGTGTCGGCGAGTGTTTTTTTGTACAAGTGCCCTTTTTACTTTGGCTAGAGAAACCTAAAGGCAAAGCCCATTCATTGGCACACAAATTGGTATGGCGCCCCCACCTTGGTCTGGTCTGGGTCACAGAAGTCCAGGATGGCATCGCAGACCATGTAGCCCATCTCCTCCAGGTGCCGCGTGGTAAAGTGCTGCTCCCCCAACGGCCCGAAGTCTGCGCCGCAGAAGGAGGCCTGTTTTAGGCTGGTAAAAAGGGAAGCCAAGGAAGAGTGGTTCCAACATGTGCTACCCACTTTTGGCTGGGCTTAAAGGGAAACCAACAGGAAACCAACAGCAAACTAACAGAAAACCGATGTGAAAGCCAAGCCACCAGGAAACCCAAAGCCCAGGAGTCCGTCCCCATTTATTTGCCACACGAACATTCCGAGTCGTGGTCGGGGCGAGCCCCCCTCTTCCCCTCGTCTCTGGCGACAGTTGCCTCGAGTGTGTAGGAGTTCACCACCCCCAGCTCCCGGTAGGCCACCACGCGGGCCGTGGACTCCTTGCTCTTCCTGGGAGCTTTTGGTTGATCAGAGGTGGCTCTTCGACTGGCTAAGGTTGCAAAGTCCCAGGAAATGTGATACAAAGTAAAGTCATGAGATGAAAAAAGTGAGGAAAAGCAAACATGCGGGGAGCCCTGAGCACTACCTTCCCAATTGTGTTGTATGACTGCAGTTGGGTTGCACAAAGTGCCCTGATTTCACCCATACAAAATGAGTGATCTAGATGGCAAAAGCAGGTAAGCAAAGGAACCCGTTATGTAAAGCTTTGCCCTCCAATCAACATTGTTTGGTGCCCAGACGCCTTGTAGAAGACTACTTCCTCTTGGAAAGGGACTTCCATGTTCGTTGGTTGGAGGGCAAGCTTTTTACACGGTTTCCGTTGGCTACCAACTCTAGTGGCAACTAAGCACCAAATCCGTCAAGAGTGAACATTTGAAGCAGACGAAAAATGATGTTTGTTTGGCCCTGTTTTGCTCACCCTAATCCAACAATAGTAGACCAAAAACCGAGAAACACAAGCAAGCCCAAGTATCTCCGACAGCGACCCTTCCGGAACCCTCCCTCAGAGCTGCTTTGTACATCAAAATAACAGATGTCAGCTCCGATGGGCGAGGCTCTGGATCTTGAAGCAGCAGTCGTCGAAGGAAAAGCAGTCCGAGCTCCTGCACAGAAGCCCCGGGAAGATCTTCTCTCTCAGCCCGTTGTTCTTGCCTCGGCATTTTATTTGATATACATCGCTTGCATTGGTTAAAAAGAAAAACAACGAAACGAAGGTGTTTGTAGACACCCATTGTGACTGGTTGGTTTAAACGGGAAACCCCTCCAAGAACGAAAGCAAAGAAGGCACCACTGGGTGTCTGAGTTGCTGTTCCCGTACATGAAGACATTCTTTTTCCGGCTATGTCCATGGATATCAACATAGAGCACCACGTCGCGATCGTCAAAGAGGTGGCGAAACATGCTCTTGGTGAAGAAAATGGTGGGATGCATCTTGCGGCTGGGCTCGTCCCATAGACGATTCAAATCTTGCCCAGCAAGAGAGCATCGATAGTTGCCTACAATAACTCCGTCCGGGTTGAGCATGGGAACGATCTTAAAAATAAAATTGTCACGCAGGATGCGCGCGTCTACAGAAGCACCTGTCAAGTAGTCAAGGATCCCTTTCATAATCCAGGATGCATTCGACTCCCCTGGGTGCACGCGCGCCGTTATCACCACTGCACGTCTAGCCTTCAAAGCAGCTGGATCACTGCCAAAGGAAGTGATTGTGATAAGATCGCATGCGTTTCCGGCGAGCGTGTCGCAAAGCTTCCTCCGTCGGAATCGCCGGACCATGTTCGGATCCCTTTCCATTGCCCTCAAATCAAGTTGCAAATCTGAGTACGTGTAAGGATAGCAGTGTGAAAAGTACACTTCATCACAGTCATTCGCAAATGTGACAGTGAAGGTCAGTGTGTAGTACGTGGCACCCTTCTGCCTCCGAAGGCCATTCTGATAATAGGCGATTCTATCACCACAGCGGACCCAGCCAACGCCCCTCTCTGATGCTTCAATGCAAGAATACATCAGTGGCCGCATGCCCTCATTGTACACAGAGGTTGGCTTGACCATGTTGATGATGTTGAAGCGATATTGTGGGCCTTTCCGCGTGTTTCCAACACGGAAAAAATACCACTGCGTGTGAGACTTGGTGTTGTAGTCTGGGTTCAAGATCAGGTCATACCTGTAACAAAAGACGGTACTTCTTCACCGGTATGGTATAAACAGAAAAGAAACGCATACCCTGAATCCAGGTTGCTCGAACTCGTAGGCTTGAACTGCACGTCGCAAGTTGCCACTTTCAAACCGACTTTCGAACAGCAAAGTCCGGTCATCGGGTCCTGCAAAATGAGAACATGTGAGCGGATTTCGCAACCAACAAAATGCCTGGCTATTAACATGTTTGCAAATATCAACCTAAACCCTAAAACCCAGGATGAGAACAAGTCTCACAAATAAATTGAAGTATCCCAAAAAAAACTACAAAATATAACACCAGCCTTTCGTGGAAAGGGCAAGCGCCTCCAAACGTTTCGCAAAGCATGCTCAAAGCTATCGCGGCCCCATGTGTTCCTTTCGCGCAGCAACTTGCTCAACAACCCCTGTACTAGCTTCTTTCATGCTGCTTTGGAACACTGCCATGTCAACAGGGAACTCATCCCACTCTTTGGGGCATCAACAGCTTTCAGTCACATTCTCGCACAGGCTCTCTAATTGAAGCGTGTTGGAGTTCATGTCAACTTTGGATTATTCTGAGAAACCACACACTTTTGAATATCTTCTCCTTCTGTTGGGTAGGGATTTCCTTAGGGTCCTTCTCCCCGGGACCAATCCGAACATCACAAGCAGAACTAATGCGAGACGTCCTGTCGGACTGTAGTAGGGCGCCAAATGAGGCTTCAGGCCAGACCGTGTCTCCTGAGCTGCCACTGATATCAACTTGTTATTCGGGTCAAGAAGGCGTTTTCTATGTGCAACTAGAATGCACCCCAAAAAGGGCAGCTTTCCTCTTGTACTTTCCCTTGAAACCAAACTGAACAGGGAAGCCTCAAAAGAACAAACCTGGGGCAACTGGCTTTTGTGGCGCAGCCTGACATGATACTCAGCCTAACGTGATACTCAGCCTAGGTTGAATATGATGACTGCACATCCTCTAAGAGGAACTCCTCCAAGAAGTAAAGCTTTCAACGTAGGTCGCCGATGAGCACAAAACTGCAAGCAGCCCAGCACAAGCTGCGGGGCAACTAGAACAAGCGTCTCACAAGGTACAAAGGCCCCAGACCGAGCGTCTTGGCCCACCTGACTGAACATCTGATGAGGGACGAAGGCTGATGTGTCCGCTTGAAAGGGATCTCCAACACTGTCATACACGATGCGATTCCGCACGTTCTCAGGATAAGCTACTCTGTCCGCCTCTGACTTCACAATGTCGTCAAACAAAGAGTCAGGTGGAAGGTACAGGAGTTCGGCTTCTTCTGGCACGGCGCGTATGAACCTTGGAGTTGCTGCCATGGGAATTGCGATGCCAGCCTGTGGAACTGCCAAAGGCTCAGATGCATCGTTGTCCATCAGCGGATATTCGTCATAGAAATCCGAAGACTCTGCTCTTGCAGGCTCCAGGGTTTTTTCTACCGTCCCAGGCTCTGTTTCCAACTCAACTCCCGCCAGTGCCAGAATCTCGTCCTCAAGCTCACAGTCTCTTCAAATTGCCATGCATCGCCTTAATATCCTAAATCCGAATTATTTGCAAAACGCGAGAAACTGAGTTGTTCCATCTGTCTTCGGAATCCCTTCCAACTCATGGCTTCACAGCTCCTTCACGCCCACCTCCTGGTCGTCCTCCTCGAAAGCATCCGCATCCTCGACCTCCTGATCGAACAGGGCGCCTTGTTTTTAAACCGTTCGGGGCTTCGGTCCCTGAGCTGTTTTTGCAAAAGTGGTCCGCTTGTTTGATTCGGCCAATGTGGGACACTCTTTTTGAGGTTCGTCTCAAAATAGAGGAACCTTGGAAACCCAAAAAGGACAACTGACAAAACCATACTTACCTTAACGCGCGGTTCCCCTTCCTCGTCCATGGGGTCGTCACTCTTGGAGTCCTCGCTGGGCTCGACATCTGAAGGATGCTCGCTGGGCTCGACATCCCCATCCTGATGCCGCTGAAAATTCAGCATGGGCTTCTCGGAAGGGTGTCATGTTTCGAGAAAAGCTTGTATACATCCAGAGTCCAGAGTTCCCCCTCTTGAGGAAATTAGCCAGTGGGTTTAAGCCTACCTAGGCCTTCCCTCTCCCACCCCGGTCAGCATAGCCCGGATCGGAGATTGGGGTTAGTGGTTTAGTTAAATCCAGACCAAAGAAAACAGAAACCGCCAGCAGGTGTTTGCCTCGCTTCTGAAAAACAAAAAGAAAAGAGGTCGCAAAACATGCGCCAAATGTTCTTGGTTCAATCCTCAAAAAGAGAGCACTCGTGGCGAGTCACTCGAGTTTTCAGCAAAAAACAATGCGACGTCCAATGTTGGGTGACCCTCAATGGGTTCTAACAAGTCTGTTCGCATGCAAAAGTGCCGTGCGTCCTCTCCCTTGACCCGTCACCAAGGCTCGGAGAGCCGATCCGCCGGGATCTCCAGCCCATTCTCCGCCGCCAGGATGGGAAGCTGCTCGTAGCCCGCGCTCTCGTCGCGGCCAGGCGCGCCCGGCGCGCCCGGCCCGCGGGCGGCCGCGGCACCGGCGCCCGCGCCGTTGCCGAAGGGCTCCCAGCTGGCCATGGCATTGGCCGAGATCGTTGCCGCTTGTGACGTGACAAAAATGAGGGGTAAATGAGGGAAGATGAGTGCCGATGGCTTTTGTGGGTGCAGATTAGAGTTCAGCATCCCAGAAGTGTTTAACACCTTGAAGCTGTTGTGGTGCAAAATGTGTGGCTCGTCCACGACGTTCCTTTTCACTGTAGATTGGATATTTTGACAAGAATCTCCCTGTGCAAGGCCATGCCGACTCTCCAGACAAAACAAACACGCTCGGCGCGAGAAAAAAGGCTGAAACGTGCAAGTGCTGCTTGGACCCGCAACTTTGCCACTTCAGGCAAATGTGTCGAAATTTGGAACCCAAAAGGGGCTTCGGTTTCCTTCTGGCTTCCCTTTGAAACCAACGCCACAAGGGTACCCTCCAAAAAATGCACGCTGCGCTCCGGGCCTTGCAGCAATCTCTGAGTGGCTTGGTCTGCTACAATGACCTCAAGGCAGCGAACTCGAAACGACGACTTACCAGATACCCTCAACAAACACGTGGCGGAGTTCCCCAAAACTCCGCAGTCTTCCAAACCCAGTGGGTTGCATGATTGGACAGAGATCATGCCATGCGCTGACCATCGATGCGGCGCTCTGCACTCACAGGATGCCTCAATGTTAGGCATTTCAATCCGACATGGCTAAGCATGTCATGCTGAATGGCAAACAGATCTACAGGGGCTGTGCGGTTTGCTCTCATGATTAAGGCAGATTGTTGCCTTGTTCAATATGTGATTCACGGCAGTGAACAACTTCAGCTAAAAAAGCACTCTAGTGCTGCTAGTGCTTGCATTCTGTAACTTGCCATGGCAGTGCACCTCGCATAGAGCAGATCTATGATTGTGCATCTGGCTGCCATCTCAAAACGATTTCAAGGTAGATGCCTCCAACGGTCCATTGTTTGCTATGTGTGTCCTGGTACAAGCAGCCAAATCGGACCAGTCTTGTCAAGCTGCACAAGTTGATTGCATGGAGCCTTTCTTTTGCCGCAAAGAGCTCGCTCATGCTGCTTAAGTCAAGCCTCATATCGACCATCAACAGCCCACTGCTGACGGATTCACGCTGCGAGCAACAAAGAGCAAGAGCTTTGTTTTGCCATGTTCCATGTTGCATGTGCCGAGCAACTCCAGCTTGGGTCGACAAAGCGGGAAAAACAAGTTGCGTGTTGCTGTGTCTGCTTACAGTAAGCTCATTTGCAGCTCGCCCCCGCCCGCTCCTGAGGTCCTGGTATGGAGCGGGCTCACTATCAAAACAATTCGCCGTGGGTAATCACACCTCGCGGACGTGCTCACCAACTGTGAAGCCTCAAGCTGTGAGTCTGCTCTCAGGTACCCTCCAGCAACATCTTGTCGCTCTGACTGTCTCATAAGCTGGTTCCTGGAGGCTTGTTCCGGGGAATCCTGAAACTCAGGCCCAAACCAAAGATATTCATTGTGGAGGCAACCAACATCTCCTCCAACAAATCATGAACATCGATTACAGCCCCAACAAACAAAAGTGTCGGCGCTCTGCAAGCGATGCAAGCACGCCTCTAGAATCTGCCAGCGGCTGCTGCAAACTCTTCCCGCGACAGAATTCCATCGCCATTTGCATCCATCTGCAGGGCCGACAATTCCGATCGATGCAAGTCATGCATCTTTCATGCTCTTGCTGCCCATGCATAAAGCGAAGCCTGCGCGAACATGTCAACCTGCGGGGCCCGCACAGCACGAAAGAACAGCGATATTTCCAGATGCACTAGCTGCAACAAAATGGCACTTTTGCAATCATGTATGCTATCGCCCAACACGCTGCACTCACTGCGAATGGCCTCCCGCTTCGTGCCACACTTTCGGCAGAACACTGCATCAGGCAGGAAAACGTTGCCTGAAATGAGGCCGCATGCTCCCAGTTCGTCAACTGTACACTCAAGCTTCAAGTTGTGTTATGACACATGCAAGAAGCAAGTGCCACCTGGACACCACTGGTCCTTTGTGCTGCCAAGAAGCCACAATTTCGGCACTGCGCATTGGCCTCGGTTGCATTGCGGCTCGAAAAGTCTGTGTTCCGTCACTCAAAACATGGTCCCGCCAATTTCTGATCACCCAGCGCACATTTAGCTCTCACTACTAGGGTGACCGCCTGTGACACGTCTTTTGTCTTGGGGTGATAATGTAAAGTCCCCGTGCAGCCTGGTGACTGCAGCAGACTGGCCGGCGTACTGCACTGGTACTGGGCCCGAGGGATACTGCATTGCTGATCCGTACTGAGCCGGTGCTGATCCGTACTGAGCTGGTGCTGCAGAATACTGAACCGGTGCTGATGAATACTGGGCCGGCGCTGCCGAGTACTGAGCCGGCATCGCCGAGTATTCTGCTGGCGCTGCTGAGTACTGGGCCGGGGCTGCCGAGTACTGTGCCGGCGCTGCCGAGTACTGAGCCGGCATCGCCGAGTATTCTGCTGGCGCTGCTGAGTACTGTGCCGGGGCTGCCGAGTACTGTGCCGGCGCTGCCGAGTACTGAGCCGGCATCGCCGAGTATTCTGCCGGCGCTGCCGAGTACTGTGCCGGCGCTGCCGAGTACTGCGCCGGCGCTGCCGAGTACTGGGCCGGCATCGCCGAGTATTCTGCCGGCGCTGCCGAGTACTGAGCCGGTGCTGCCGAGTACTGCGCGTACTGGGCGGGGGCTGCGGAGTACTGAGCCGGTGCTGCCGAGTACTGAGCCGGCGCTGCCGAGTACTGAGTCGGGGCAGAGTATTCTGCAGGTGCCGTGGAGTATTGCGCGGGTGCCGCGGAGTATTGAGCCGGGCTAGTCATATACTCCATTGGCGCCGAATATTGAACAGGCTGTGAAGCTGAGTATTCTGCTGGTGCAGAATAAGAATATGATGGAGCATACTCAGCAGGCTGTGTCATATATTGCGGTGCTGAGCCCTGAGCCTGGGAGCCATATGTCATGGGAGCAGAGTATGTGGCTGGCTGCGGCTCAGCCATGTATGTCATGGGAGCAGACACCTGGGTCGACGCACCTTGGGCAGGCTGTGCTGGTGCATAGGTTTGGGCTGGCATCGTGTAAGTGGCTGGGGCTGGGGCTGGCGTGTAGCTTGGCTGGGCAGAAAAGCCGAGCTGTGGCATCTGCATCTGCGAGTATGCTCCAAACTCCTCCCTTGACAGCACACCATCTTGATTCATGTCCAGCTGTTGGAAGATGTTCGGGGCACCAAACATGGAGGGCGCTTGTGTCATCTGCGCTGGTGGCACATAGCTGGGCATCTGGGGCATGGCTGGCGTCGACTGCGCCGTCGGGGCAGCGTAGATCATGTCCTGTCTTGGCTGGGGCTGCGCGGGTTGCGCTGGCTGTGCTGCCGGGGCTGCATAGATCATGCCCTGAGGCGGCCCCTGAGGTGGCTTTGTCTCTGGGGCTGGTGCTGACTGACATGGCGCAGCATAGACTGGTGCCATTTGGTGCTGAGCTGGCTGAGCTGGCTGAGCTGGCTGAGGCTGCCCCAGCACAGGTGCAACATAGCTCAGATCTTGCTGCGGGGCAGGCATGGGTGCGTAGCTGCCCATCTGGCCCATCTGGCCCATCTGGCCCATCTGGCCCATCTGGCCCATCTGGCCCATCTGGGGAGCGTACGCTGCAAACTCCTGCCTGGAAAGGACACCATCGTTGTTCATGTCCAGCTGCCCAAACGCTGTCGCGTAGCTTGGCCCTCCGCAGGGTTGCGGGGTGTACGATGCAGTTCCTGCCTGCATGGGAGGTGCGTAGGAACCTTGAGCAGGTGTGGTGTATGTAGCCGGTGTGCCGTACGTCACGGGCATGGCTTCCATCTGTGGTGCGTAGGTTTGAGGTGTCATGTAGGACGGACTGGATGAGTACGTCATGGCAGGGCCGCTCTGGGGTGCCAGGTACGATGGAGTTGTGGTGTAGCTGGGTGCTGCCATTGCAGCTGAAGACGCCTGAGCTGGCATCGCAGAGTATGTTGTGGCAGGACCTGTTGCCATGTATGCGGCAAACTCCTCCCTCGAAAGTGCACCATCGTTGTTTGCATCAAGCTGCTGGAACGGAGATGACATCATGGGGGGGCCATAACTGACAGGCACCGGCTGTGACGCACCGTAAGTTGTCCCCTGCGGGACGGAGTATGATGGCTCACCCGTGAAAGTGGCCGGAGCACCGTAGGTGGCTGGCTGAGCTGCATAGGTAGTAGCTGGCTGAGCTGCATAGGTAGTAGCTGGCTGAGCAGCATAGGCAGGCTGAGCTGCGTACGTCGCAGGCTGAGCAGCGTATGTTGCCGGCTGAGCCGCATAGGTAGCTGGCTGAGCCGCATAGGTAGCTGGCTGAGCCGCATAGGTAGCCGGCTGCGCAGTGTATGCTGCAGGCTGTGGGGTGTAACTAGTTGTGGCCGCGGGCTGCATGGAGTATGCTTGAGCAGGGGCACCGTACATCACGTTTCCTCCGCCTCCACCAAATTGCTGTGCCTCAGTCATAGCAGGGACAAGTTCCCACACACCCGTAAAAGGAGACTCCTGGAACGAAGCACTTCAAAATGAGATGTGCCTATGTAAGAGCGCTGCCAGGCCCCCACCAGCCATCATCTGCGCAAACTCCTGACAGGGCATCTCTCTCTCCATTTCCGCAAGGCAAGGGATGCCATGCCTCCCGGCTGATGCCACCGTCTTGATTGACATCAAAGCGCCCAAAGGCATCCTGACAAGAAAAAAAAACAAACCCGAACGCAGAATCAAACACACGCACGCGAAAATGGGTTTAAATGTGCAAAAAGTCGAAAAAGGTTTCACAGTTGGGGAAAAAAATAGAACGCGTGCACGCAGAACAACGAAGATGATGTGGCTGCAGCAGCAACAATGACACCAGCATGCATGCACGGCAACTCCATCACAATCCCTGCCAGTCCATCATGGTGTCAAAAAGAGCAAGGCGCCGAACTGATGAGCTACAAACAAGCAGTTTGATGCAAACACGCAAATGTCATTGCGCATTTGGTTCATGTCGATGCTTGACTGCACGAGCTCTTGGATCTTGACTTTGATGCCTCCACATGGCGACGGTCAAGTGGATGTTGCAATGAAATTGGAAACACCGCCATCCACTGAAAATGAAAAGAGCGAAAAGCGGACAACTGAAGACACCAAGCACAATGAGTCCTTTGTCCGCCTGACAGACTCTCTTCCTTTTAAAGCAACCAAAAGACTCTAGCAAAAACATTGGCCGATGCACAGGGATAAGAGCTGAGCGGACAAAAGGACAAGTTCACTATGCTCACTATGTCAATCTTTGTGTCAGGCAACAAGCAGGATGCAAGATTCAAAGAATAGAAGAGGCCTGCTTCGGTAGTGTGAGAAATCTGACCAAATTCGCCCACAGGCATCAGCCCCTTCTAAAGCTTCTGAATCCGAAGTCCTCCGTCTTATTGGGGCGTGTCCTTCAATGACTTTGCAAAGCTGCCGACCTCCACGACCTACGACCTGATAGGAGTTCTGCTTGTGTTCAGCTCCAGAATTGCAGCTCGTTGCAACGTGGCAAATTCGATCGTTCAATGACAGGGCAGCAAAAGCTATCCCCCATGGAGAGCAAGACAGTATGGCTGAACAACTTGTTTCTCGCATTGGCAACTGGCAACAGAGGGACATATGCAGTGATCCTGTAGGCCCGAATACTTTGCAAAGCGTCCCGCAAACTGCCTAATCAAACTGGATCTTTGGGCCGTTTTCTATCGCTGCAACAAAATGGTTTCAAAATATGGATTAGATTACACTTCAAGGCTGGGCAATGCTGCAATTTCACTTTTACTCTGTGTTTTTTAGTATGTTAAAGCTTTGCTGCAATCAGACCACCACGCGGCGCTGTTTTTTTCTTCTTGCGCACTTGCTCACATTTGCTGCAAATCGAACCTCATACCGATCGTCAACAGCCCACTGTTGACGGAGTCAACACGAGCAAATGATGCAAAACTTTAGTCACCGCATCCTCATTTGTGCGCTTTGCATTATTCTTTGACCCGTAGTGCGGCTCATTTGCATCCCCCTGACGCACCCACTGCTTCTTCTATGCAGAGGCGTCATTATCCAAACAACTATCCAGCGCGTCTCACTTCGCTGGCGGGCACCTCACCAATTGTGATGCGCCTCGAAGCAGAGTCCACGAGAACATGGAAGGCTCCCAAGGCCGGGTGGAAGCTTCGTCCAAAACCCAATCTATACCAGTGTTGTACCCTTGCGGGTATCTCCTTTAGAGTGTCGGAGCAGGCATCACAGCGGCACCGCCCCCATGCTGCCGAGGCTTCTATCACACCTCATGGAACCTTCCCAAATAAGCTGAGGCCCAGACCAAAGATATTCACTTTGAAGGTATCCAATCTCCTTCAGCGCGTCACGGCCATAAATTGCACCCCAAACAATCAGGAGTGTTGCCAATTGCAAGAAGCACCAGTCAACGTGCAAGCACTCCTCTAGAATCTGCCAGCAGCTGCTGCAAACTCTTCCCGCGACAGAGTTCCATCGCCATTTGCATCCATCTGCAGGGCCGATAATTCTGATCGATGCAAGTCATGCATCTTTCATGCTCTTGCTGCCCATGCATAAAGCGAAGCCTGCGCGAACATGTCAACCTGCGGGGCCCGCACAGCATGAAAGAACAGCGATATTTCCAGATGCACTAGCTGCAACAAAATGGCACATTTGCAATCATGTATGCTATCGCCAAACACGCTGCACTCACTGCGAATGGCCTCACGCTTCGTACCACACTTTCGGCAGAACACTGCATCAGGCAAGAAAACGTTGCCTGAAATGAAGCTGCACACAACCAGTATCTCAGAGCAGTGCTCCCAGTTCGTCAACTTCAAGTTGTGTTATGACACATGCAAGAAGCAAGTGCCACCTGGACACCACTGGTCCTTTGTGCTGCCAAGAAGCCACAATTTCGGCACTGCGCATTGGCCTCGGTTGCATTGCGGCTCGAAGAGTCTGCGTTCTGTCACTCAAAACATGGTCCCGCCAATTTCTGATCACCCAGCGCACATTTAGCTCTCACTACTAGGGTGACCGCCTGTGACACGTCTTATGTAAAGTCCCCGTGCAGCCTGGTAACTGCAGCAGACTGGCCGGCGTACTGCACTGGTACTGGGCCCGAGGGATACTGCATTGCTGATCCGTACTGAGCCGGTGCCGCAGAATACTGAACCGGTGCTGATGAATACTGGGCTGGCGCTGCCGAGTACTGTGCCGGCGCTGCCGAGTACTGAGCCGGCATCGCCGAGTATTCTGCTGGCGCTGCTGAGTACTGTGCCGGGGCTGCCGAGTACTGAGCCGGCGCTGCCGAGTACTGGGCCGGCATCGCCGAGTATTCTGCTGGCGCTGCTGAGTACTGTGCCGGGGCTGCCGAGTACTGCGCCGGCGCTGCCGAGTACTGGGCCGGCATCGCCGAGTATTCTGCCGGCGCTGCCGAGTACTGAGCCGGTGCTGCCGAGTACTGAGCCGGCGCTGCCGAGTACTGAGCAGGGGCTGCGGAGTACTGAGCCGGCATCGCTGAGTACTGAGCCGGCGCTGCCGAGTACTCTGCCGGTGCTGCCGAGTACTGCGCGTACTGGGCGGGGGCTGCGGAGTACTGAGCCGGTGCTGCCGAGTACTGAGTCGGGGCAGAGTATTCTGCAGGTGCCGTGGAGTATTGCACGGGTGCCGCAGAGTATTGAGCCGGGCTAGTCATATACTCCATTGGCGCCGAATATTGAACAGGCTGTGAAGCTGAGTATTCTGCCGGTGCAGGAGCATACTCAGCAGGTTGTGTCATATATTGCGGAGCCTGGGAGCCATATGTCATGGGAGCAGAGTATGTGGCTGGCTGCGGCTCAGCCATGTATGTCATGGGAGCAGACACCTGGGTCGACGCACCTTGGGCAGGCTGTGCTGGTGCATAGGTTTGGGCTGGCATCGTGTAAGTGGCTGGGGCTGGGGCTGGCGTGTAGCTTGGCTGGGCAGAAAAGCCGAGCTGTGGCATCTGCATCTGCGAGTATGCTCCAAACTCCTCCCTTGACAGCACACCATCTTGATTCATGTCCAGCTGTTGGAAGATGTTCGGGGCACCAAACATGGAGGGCGCTTGTGTCATCTGCGCTGGTGGCACATAGCTGGGCATCTGGGGCATGGCTGGCGTCGACTGCGCAGCCGGGGCAGCGTAGATCATGTCCTGTCTTGGCTGGGGCTGCGCGGGTTGCGCTGGCTGTGCTGCCGGGGCTGCATAGATCATGCCCTGAGGCGGCCCCTGAGGTGGCTTTGTCTCTGGGGCTGGTGCTGACTGACATGGCGCAGCATAGACTGGTGCCATTTGGTGCTGAGCTGGCTGAGCTGGCTGAGCTGGCTGAGGCTGCCCCAGCACAGGTGCAACATAGCTCAGATCTTGCTGCGGGGCAGGCATGGGTGCGTAGCTGCCCATCTGGCCCATCTGGCCCATCTGGCCCATCTGGCCCATCTGGCCCATCTGGCCCATCTGGCCCATCTGGGGAGCGTACGCTGCAAACTCCTGCCTGGAAAGGACACCATCGTTGTTCATGTCCAGCTGCCCAAACGCTGTCGCGTAGCTTGGCCCTCCGCAGGGTTGCGGGGTGTACGATGCAGTTCCTGCCTGCATGGGAGGTGCGTAGGAACCTTGAGCAGGTGTGGTGTATGTAGCCGGTGTGCCGTACGTCACGGGCATGGCTTCCATCTGTGGTGCGTAGGTTTGAGGTGTCATGTAGGACGGACTTGATGAGTACGTCATGGCAGGGCCGCTCTGGGGTGCTAGGTACGATGGAGTTGTGGTGTAGCTGGGTGCTGCCATTGCAGCTGAAGACGCCTGAGCTGGCATCGCAGAGTATGTTGTGGCAGGACCTGTTGCCATGTATGCGGCAAACTCCTCCCTCGAAAGTGCACCATCGTTGTTTGCATCAAGCTGCTGGAACGGAGATGACATCATGGGGGGGCCATAACTGACAGGCATCGGCTGTGACGCACCGTAAGTTGTCCCCTGCGGGACGGAGTATGATGGCTCACCCGTGAAAGTGGCCGGAGCACCGTAGGTGGCTGGCTGAGCTGCATAGGTAGTAGCTGGCTGAGCAGCATAGGTAGGCTGAGCTGCGTACGTCGCAGGCTGAGCAGCGTATGTTGCCGGCTGAGCCGCATAGGTAGCTGGCTGAGCTGCATAGGTAGCTGGCTGAGCCGCATAGGTAGCCGGCTGCGCAGTGTATGCTGCAGGCTGTGGGGTGTAACTAGTTGTGGCCGCGGGCTGCATGGAGTATGCTTGAGCAGGGGCACCGTACATCACATTTCCTCCGCCTCCACCAAATTGCTGTGCCTCAGTCATGGCAGGGACAAGTTTCCACACACCCGTAAAAGGAGACTCCTGGAACGAAGCACTTCAAAATGAGATGTGCCTATGTAAGAGCGCTGCCAGACCCCCACCAGCCATCATCTGCGCAAACTCCTGACAGGGCATCTCTCTCTCCATTTCCACAAGGCAAGGGATGCCATGCCTCCCGGCTGATGCCACCGTCTTGATTGACATCAAAGCGCCCAAAGGCATCCTGGCAATGGTGTGCAAGCATCCCGTTCCAAGCACTGGACATTGGGCGTTTTGCTCCAGCGCTTGCCAATATCACCTAAGATTTTACAGTCGGAGCTGTCTCAACGTGCTTCAAGATGACGCATCAAGCATACACACCACACTCCCTGTCCATCATGCCACGAATGAGAGCAAACGAGTCGAAACTGCGCACTTTGATGCCTCTAAATGGCAACAGGCATGAAAATGGTTGACTCGCTGTCCGATGTGTTCCCGAGGCCAACCCCGGTTGTTTAAAACAGTTGCATCTCAAAATTATGACAATTTGCAGATTTTAAAAGCATACGCCCAAATTCAGGTGAACACACAGGCCTCACTCTGCAATGCAGAAAAGGCGTCCATCTGTCACTCAAAAGCGTGTGTACATTCAAGTTCAGAAGCCGCTGGCAGCGGTTTCTGCAAACACACAGGTTGCTAAGTAAAACGGGTTGCATCGCCAAACTGCACTAGAACAAGGAGTCAAATCGCAGAATTGAATGTTCCAATACATTGGTTTACGTAAATTATTTGAATTGAAGATCATGGGAACCTCGTCCGTTGCATGCTGTCCGTCCCAACGCCATGAATACATCGCATGATGAATGCAACCTGCGAAAGCAACCAAATTTGACGAGGCTACATTAAAATTCGCTCAAAAAAATCAAACAGTCATGAACTAAAACGCGCAGCACCATATCTTTAGCCCCGTTCTTACAGTTATGGCAAAAACTAGTGCAACGTTCAGGGCATGCAATGCATGCGTTGTTCCCCTACGCAAAAATCGCTTCAATCAGCAGAAAAGAACTTGCACGGTGCCTGCCAATGTAGTTTCGTTTTTCAGCTAAATGATCCTTCACCAGGAATGATCTGCTTGATCTTGGGGCCCTGAAGGATCCATAAAGAGTCACAAGGAGGTAAAGTATCAAAACAAAACCGGGGTTCATTCATGAGAAAATGGGTTGACCACCAAGCAACTTATCACATATTGTTTACAACCTAGGAACCAGCACGTTAAGGCATGTCGCACTGCTCCTAGCTTGAACCCAAACATGAAACCTCAAAAGAACAAAGTTCGTCCGAAGCGGCCGCAGTTCTTTTCACCGGGATTGCTGAAAGTTGCACTGCTTCCAGGGCACTAGTGCGCCTGGAGCAGGAGGCACATTGACCCCCCGAAATGTGAAAAGGCAAGACAATGCGTGTCCTTGCGGGTAAATGCAGTGCTTGGGGGGGGCGCGGCACGCGTGCCCACGCCCCAAGGTCCGGAGACCGACAGTCCGGAGACTTGAGGTCCGGAGACCGATTGTGGTCCGGAGACCTAGTCCGGAGACTACGGTGCCCGGAGGCGACCCACGATAATGCAGAGAAACTGCCGTCTATCCTGGCAAAGCCTGGCATAGGGCAATGCAGGGTGGGTGGGTGGGTTTCGAAATGAAACCGCAGGTTTGGGTCAAGGCTAGGAGCAAAACGGCCAACGCATAGTTCGATTCACCACATGCCCTAAACACAAGGGAAAAGAAACCCTAAGCGTTAAGGCATGTCGCACTGCTCCTAGCTTGAACCCAAACATGAAACCTCAAAAGAACAAAGCTCGTCCGAAGCGGCCGCAGTTCTTTTCACCGGGATTGCTGAAAGTTGCACTGCTTCCAGGGCACTAGTGCGCCTGGAGCAGGAGGCACATTGACCCCCCCTTCAGTGTTTCAGTCAACCCCGGTAAAAGCGAACCAGCTGGGCCGAAGGCCTCATCACCCGCCCTTCAGAGTGGGGTTGTACCTGGCAGGGCAGATGCTAGGGTCACCATGCACGCTGTGTTGTGAACAGCTCGGCATGCGGTGACTGCACTTTTTTTTTTCTGGTCAGAGCGGCTTGTGTAAGCGGCTGGCTGACATTGCCAGTTGTTCTGCACCCTGTCAAATGTTCCGGACGCCAGGGCGCATGCATCGGACACAGTTGAATGCCTCGGCCCGACATCGCCAGGCTTGCAGGGCTGAAGCGCATGCGACTTTCAGGGCGATGGCTGAACCGGGTCAACCGACCTCTGCTGAGATCGTCTGCCCAATCATTGCACCTTCCTGGAACGTGCGTTGGCTGCAGCAGCACGTTGTGAGCGTGAGCCCAGAAGGCTGTTAACTGCACAAAAAGTTGCAGCGGCCATGAGGTCGTGAACAGTTTGTTAAGGCTTGCTTCCGTGGCGGAATTGTCCGTGCCGGACGGCATGCTAAACGAGTAGTGCCCACCACCAATGTGGCTGTGGGTTGCTTGCAGCAATGCTAACTGTGCAAGTGTTTCAAAGCATGCGATATACCGCTGTGCTGGCTTGACAAGGCAAGGCCACACGGCTCTTATGTCTTGCATGTTCCAGGTCTCGGCGAACCACACCACTTGGGAGGATGTGATTGCCCAGCCCCCAATCCCCACCATTTCATCTTCAGCACACGCGTCGGCGGCAGCCAGAGCTTGCAGCTGGTGTGGCCGCGCCAACGGCTGAATAGGCGAGTGTCGAAAGCACGACGCCAGCCAAGTAAGGCAATGTTGACTTGACTTGGAAAGGCTGGTGTATGGGTTATTGGGGTCCGCGATACGCACCCATGTGGGCTTGCTAGTGCCAGGCACTCGCGGAATGTCTTCAAGGCAATGCAAGGTGCGGCCTGAAATTTCCAAGATTTTGGAACCCGCTGTGATCCACAATCCCGGCAGGCTGTGACTAGTTTTGAGGTCCCTGGACAAGGACGCTCGAAAGGCCGACCAGATTTGCGGTGGTATTGAGTGCATGGAGCCTGGTGGGCTGTTGAGGTCCGCGCAAAGCGGCGCCAGCCAGGACCTAAGGTGCAGGGCAATGCTGGTGGCCCAAATCAACAGGCCTATGCACTGCTCGAGTGTTTTGCGAGGCACACGTCGGCTTCCCAGCAGGGATTTGATCAAGGCGTCCAGCTTGGCCAGTTTTGAGGACATGAGCTGAATGGTGTCGTGAGAGAAGTTGATCTCCCAACCGCACCAAACCAGGCTATCCTGGAATTGCACCTTTTTCCATGAAATGGGTGCTGCAATGGCACAAAAGAAGAGCACCACCAAGGCAAACATGTCTGGCGCGCTATCCCGGACGAGTGCACAGAGTAGGTCGTCCACAAAGAGAAAGGCTTTGTGCGGCTTCCAGGCTAGCAACCCATGCACTTGACGAAGCAAGAAAGCGCCGGTGCGCTGCCACCAGAAGGCCGAGAAACGGCCCCCAAAATGGCACACCCTGTAGTGATAGAGCTTCCCTTGAAAGGCGAAGAGAAGAAGGCCGTGTTCCTCCGGGCGAACCTGCACTTGTTTGTGTGCGGCTTTAAAGTCAATGCTGGCGCCGATGAAGGCACCTGGAGTGTCCTCTGGCTGCGTGGACAGCGCCAAATCAGGGGCCATGGGCAAGCTAAGGCGCTCTGGCAAATGGCATCTGGTGTTGACCTGGCACACGGTGCTATCCAAGACAAGGCGAGGTTCTTTGCCTTCGGCGAAAACGACGTTAAGCTTTCCCACGGCAATGCCTAAGGGCCATTTTTTCCGAGCGTCAGCTATGCTAAGGCTCACAATCCAGTCGTTAGCAATTTCCTTGAGCAGCAAACCTTGCACGGTTTCTGGCTCGTCTTCGGCCATCTTCCAGTTGCCTTCATCAAATTTCCAGATCCGGCTGCGGCATGGAGTCTGGCTTCTTTGCTGGCCATTGAAGGCTTGGAGGCAAGGCTGATACGGCTCCTGTCGGCACTCCGTGCTGCAAAAATGGAAGGAGGGCCATGTCCGGGTCACCCCAAGATTTGGCCAGGGCATGCAGCAGGTGGAGTCGGTATGGCTGTCCTGCTTCGGGGCTCATATCTGAAGGGCAGGGCAGTTGTAACGCGCCATAGGCCAGAGTTGCCGCTTCCAGGCTTTCGGAGGGCGAGAGTGGGCAGTCCGAGGAACCGCTGTTGACGTGTGCCAGGATACGCGGCACGAGTTTGCGCTCATGCATCCAGCGCAGCCAGGGCCTGGCGACTGCCTGCAAAGGGTGCTCGGGTTTGGGGAGACACCAATCCGCTGAGGAGTGCATTCCTGCTCCATCACAGGTGGGGAGCCTGCAAGGCGCCAAGGTGACGGTGCGAGGGCAGTTAGAGTGTAGCGGCAGCGCTAGCCGGAAGGAGCCTGTTTTACTTACCCTTCCTATGCCTATTTGGGCCAATTGCAGGGCCAGGGAAGGGGGGTATTCTGCAGTCAGTGTGCTGAGGTATACCCCTTGTTCCTTCACCCCTGCAATACTCTGATGCTTGTGGGGGCGATTGCAGCGGGCCTGCAGGGCCTGTACTTTCGAACTGTTGCTGCCGAATGCCCATGACTTGGCGAATGCTTTATTGCGCATGCAGGCGTCTACCCACACCAGGGCGCACTGGTGATCGCGCAGCATTTGGAAGTTGGCCTCTTCCAACCAGGACATGGCTGATGGTGGCTGCTCCCAAATGCCGACGCCTCCTTTGGAGACCACTGCTCTGAACAGGGCTCTACCCCGGTTGTGGATGGTTTTGCTATCCAGCAATTTTTTATGCTGTGTGGGCGAAAGGCCGGGGACTCCGTCCATGTGCTGCGGCGTTCTCAAGGCTTTGGGCCCGCCCAGGCGAAGTTTGAGTCTGGAGTACTCTTTGCAAGGCGGGGCAAGCATGATCAGGGCCACGATTCCTGACCAGCAGAGTCTGAGGAGTGCCTCGAAGACGCTGTCATCCAGGATGTTGTGCGATGCATCACCATCAAGGTCAAAAGGCTCAAAGCAGTCAAGGCCGAGGCTAATTGCGGCTGACGTCACTGGGCGCAGTCTCACGTCCAAAAAGAGTCGCTTGGAGGCTGGGCGCAAGTGCGAGTCGGATGAGCCTGCCTGTGTGGGCGCGTGAGGCGCAGGCTCAGGGCTGGGTTTGCTCTGGTGTGTTGCAGGCAAGGCTGGCGTCAGGGCCGTTCGCCCTGGCCCCTGTGAGGGTGAACACGGTTGATGAGTCCCGTCGTGGGGCAAGGCCGGCGGAGGCATGGCTGCCCGATCCTGTGCCGGTCCAAGATCCGGGCTGTTTCACGTGTGTTTGTTGTGGTCCATGGCGGGGTGCTTTTGCTGGCAACCTACTATGGCACACACGTGGGCGAAAGGGCAGTGGTCATTGGTGCAACTGCCTGTCTGGCAACGCCGGCAAACCTCTCT